AGAGTTTGTTTTTGAAGAAACAGAGCTCCAGGATCATGGGCTCTGTAGAGGTTATCGATTTGTTTAGACATGGTATGCGAAGAAGCTGGTTTTGTCCAGGATCGTTGATTGGTGCTGAGTAGAGACGGAAGCATCGAGATGTGTACTGGAGTCGTATCTTTAGAGATTCGGTCGTACAGATGATTGGCAGATTCTGTCGAAGGACGGTGGATTTGGAGATTGAGAGTCTTAGCCATACGTATCATAAGTTGGGCATAGGTTTGGAAGTATTCCACCGATGATGCCACCATCAGCATCGACAAGGTCGGATTCCAGTGAGGTAAGTAACACTGATGGCGTCTGAGGACTGGATCCATGATAGGAATAATCGGGATCACGTTGGGAGTTGACGGATTGCAAATCGACTTCGGTGTCGATAGGTTGGGTGTCATAGTATTGATGTTTGTGGCTCGATGTTGATGGAGGCGGCATGTCCATGGGCATTTGTTAGTGTCGAGGATTTTCGATATCAAGAGATGTCATCCAAGTGTACATGGAAGTTGTTTGATATGGTTGAACGTCGGTGTCGAACTCGGGGTCATAGCGATGTAGAGTTCGATGGCTTGGTTCTATTGGGTGACGGAAATCGTGTGTTGATAGAGGGACAGAACCAGTGTCCAGGGACCAGGATGGATATCGACATCAGAGCCTGTGTCTCGGTGATGTCAAAATGGAGCTTGTTGATGAGCTGGTAAAGCAGTGTCGTATATAGAAGCTGGAGATGCAGAGCGAAAGGAATGATTTCCCTCATCTGGATTAGCAGGAAAATATCAGGAGGCTGGAGCTGTAAAAGCCTCGTGTGTAGAAGAAAATTGCTTGGCCGTCTTGGGTCTTTTAGGTGGCAGGTAGGGAGCAGGTTTGAGTTGATGTGGGCCACGGTGATATGTCCATTTTGATACCGATGGCTGTTGAGATCGAGGCCCACCATGAGAAGGTATGGCCAAGCTGGAAAGAGCAACTGGCCGATTGGCGGTTGCGGTTTGTCTGGTCGACCACTGGTTGGGGCAAATGGCAACCTGGTGAGAGTGCTGAATGTGGGTCTGAGCCACACGTGATGAAATAGATGGCTCCAGGGACTGTTGGGGCCAATGTCTCTGAGGCGGCCATGGTGGATGATCAGATGCGGTATGGTCTGTAGTTGTTCTTTGGAGTCGACCCTGTTAGGTGAAGCAACTATGGAAGGGTTGCTCGAAAGAACAGAATGCTGAGGACTGGGAGGAGAAGATG